CTTATTCATCAAAAGTGTAATAGGTTGCTAGAACAAACTTTGGTGAGCGATTTGTCCTTAGCAAACGACAGTTGATGTTAAGGCAAATCGTGAACTTATCAAACCCGCTTGTTAATACTTGTCTGCGTATTCTACATTTAACCGATAGTATAGAATATAGGTCATTAGAGAAAGTTGTCGATACCACGACAGTGGATCGGTATGCATTCATGTTTGAGTTCGAGACTTGCATTTATCTGTGTCCTGAATAGTCGTTTGATTTCTATCTCTGAAATTCCTGCGAATTGCATTAGTCTAGTGCTTTGTTTCATTGGATTTTAAATCGTTAATTACATTCACTTGCGTGTTACATTACAACCCCAACAACCATTTCCGTTTTAGCTTTGTTTCAACCCTCGTAGAGTCATAGAATAACACTGGTCCTCTGGATTTCAAATCTTTTGTACTACAATCTCAGGTTGTTCTATTGCAGTAGAAACTAAGAGATAACTTCCAATGAATCAAACACCAGAAAGTTAACAAAAGTTTTCTATCATTATTATTCGCTGAATTGTATTTCTTTGTTTATGTAATTGTTTAATAACAATCATTTACACCCAATGTAGTGAGTATAAACAGATAGTAACTCAATAAGGCACAAAAACTGGAACAAAAAACCAGAACCAACCCGAATTAACCGATTATTTTGGTACCTATATGGAACCTACCCAAAATACCCAGAACCGAACTGAATACCCGAATGTCCATGGCTAATTAAGAGGTCATATATATACATCAATTTAATATAAAAAATATCACATCAGAATAATACAAAATAGTTTGTATGAAATATGATATGCAATTTTATCTAACATAAGATTATATGAAATCGATATAAAGAAATAAAGAGAGAAAAAAAATTATCTGAAATTGGCAGGAAATGAGAAGAATTCGATTGATGAGAAAAATAGTAGAGAGATAAAAAGAGAGGCGGTGTAGAAAGATTGAAGAAAAATACCCTAATGACTTATACGCGGGTCTAAAGTTTACAATATATATTCATTGGTTGGTTTTTATTTCAATATCTTTTGGTTTAGCAACTAAATTAACAAATTGCAGCCTTATATATGCTACCTTATTGGTCGTACTCTTTCTTTTATTTTCTTAATCTTCTGGAATAAACGGATGTGAGAGACATGGATGGGTGCATATGCAACTCATCATCATTAATCGTGTTCCTTCGACGGCTTATCCTTTCAACATCATTGTTCTTAACGAGTGAAGTCACCTTCAGATGTATCATTGATCTAACCAAAGTGTAAATTCTGGCAAAGATACCGGTGGTGGTCTGCTGTTGTTTGCTAGTTTTTTGTCCATCCTAACTTCTATAGTTAGTTTTGAGGTAGTTTCCATGGTCATCATGGTCGTACGGTGATCTATTAATATTGTTACATTGTATAAATCTTAACGGATTTATCATGGAACCAATACGCTGAGGATGGCTTCACAACCAAAAAGATGTGATAAGTTGATTTCAAATGGAAGAAAATCAAAGTATATATATTTCAAAATAACTCTGATACAAAAGCGTTGGTATCAGATTGTCAGAATTCCAGATCTATTTTTGGAAGCATCAGGTTTTGTTATTACGGTGTACAATTCAAAGGTTTAGCCAAAAGATGCTACTTACGCACATAATTCATACCAGATTAAGATTAAATACAGAGAAGAAAATAACGGATTTCGACCTGTTAGCAAGTAAGACTTCTCTACATAAAGCATCGTTATAACCACTATTTTTTATTGTATTTTTTACACTAAATGGTGCATATGTTTGTTTATGTAATAAATTGTAATAAATTGGTGATTAATCAGTGATTAGTTTTTTTATTAAATAAATATTAATTTTATTTTTAATTATTTATATTAGTTTTTTTGATGAGTTTGGAGCTTAAATTTGCTTATGTTTGATTTTGATTTGATTTCATCATAATTTAGTTGAATTGAAAATCAGTAATTAGAGATTAAGTCGTTGAAATCGTTAATTGGTTAAGGGTTGACTGTATCGTCGTTTTCAATTGGGAAAAAAATTGACTGGGCTGATCTCGGGCCGATTTAAAAAAAAAAATATGGAAATTTTATTAATAAAGTTGGACCGATTTCAAATTTTATGAGACTTTTGAGCTGATTTTCAAAAATTAGGTGGCAGTTTTTTTTTTTTTTAATTTGGTCCTAGCTAGGCGGTTCTAGACGGATTTAGGTGGTCTTAGGCGGTGAAAATTTGGAAAACCGCCTAGAAACACTGTCTAGCACCTAGTCACGGCGGTCACTCATCGTCTAGCGCCTAGTCGGCCACCTAGGCGGCTAGACGGCCAATTTTTTGAACATGTAAATAAGAGAAGGAAACAAATTATGCAAGTAAATGAAATTGTAACGTTATATATGAATTGACTATATTATGTAAATAAAGGTATATGTAAATAAACTAGCAAGTAAATGAACAAATTGTAATCTTATATATGTTAATAAAAGTATGTAAATAATGGTTTTGATAAAATTATTATTTTATTATTTTATCAAGTTATATTAAATTTTTAATCAAAATTTTTTTTATGAGTTATCAAGTATTAATTTATAGAGTTTTTATGTAAATATAATTCATAAATCTACACAATTTTGTTATCTATAACATCCATTAGTCCATTAATTTAGATTGGAATCAAAACAAGTACAGAAAGTTAGAACACATTCTGGAGATCCTAAAGCTCCACTAACATACAATAGAAAATCTGAAATCTATGGATTTTGTTTGTTTGATTATTACACCATCAGCATTTGTAAACACAATTTGAGTTCAGTACCCTAACCTGATGATACTCTCTTCATCTCACACTAATGTTTCAAGTGGACATGAGGTTGACCAGGAATCCTACAAAGTTTAAACTTGAACACAATATAACCTTGAGCTCCTCTCTCTTTCCAATAATCCTTAACCCAATACAACCTATCATAAACATACACCTTCTTTCCTCTCTGTTTCAATTTCTTCTCTCCACGTATCACTCTCACTGGAGTCTTTTCCTTCATGCTATTTGCTAGAGCCTCATTGCCATTAACCAGCTGCTGATCTTTAACTACTTTATGATCCTTGCTCATCATGTAACCTCCTTCTCCGGTGTAAATGATCACATCAGACACGAATCTGTCGTTGTAACCATTATCTTCCGATGATACAATGCTCGTAGCTAGTTTCAAGTTTCTTCTATGCATGTAATCAATCACTCCCATGATGTCGAAATGGAGAACGATCAAGCTGAACACTGATTTGTATTGAAACTCATCACCAACGTCGTCCAGGGACTGGTCCGATCATCTTTTGACTGTTCACGTGCTCCCCTTCTTTCATGAGAATAGCCCTTGTCTTTAAATCTATCTGACTTCTTGCAATCTTTGGTTCTCCACGCCTCTCTGCCTTCTCCCGATCCAACTCTTTAAACACAAGTAGAAAAGTACGCAACACCTCGAGAACTTTCTCTCGTAGGCTAAGAACTTTGTTAATCCTATTTTGTTGCATAGCTTGGATGAGTCCAGTTAGTTGGTTTGGCCGTCTGTGTTGAGTTTTTTTATGAGTCTTTGGTCTGAATGCATCTCCATTAGTCAACATCTTCTTCTTCTTATTCTTCTCCGGAGAGTTTCTCTGTTTCTGCAAAGGCCTTCTCTGCATGCTACGAGAAGTATATGAAACTTGACTCCTTGTCCTCTGAGAAGCAATTAGCTTAATACTTTCCTCCATACTTAAATGTTTAACCTTACTTCCACAAGAAGAAGAGCCAAGATGGTGGGTTTTGGTCACAGATGATATGATCCCTAGCAATGTCGAAGAGAAAAGCGTAATCGATAATCGATAACGAATATTACATTGTTGTGAATGAGGAACATGTGGTGGATGCTGCTGCACACTTTTTAGCAAAATGCATCATGTCAAATCCCAACGCTAAGGTATACTTGTCTCCTAGTTTCTTTCTTTGAGCATATGTTTCTGAGCCTAGTATTCACTTTGTTTACTTACCTTCAAATTCCAGATTCTCAAACCTAAAGAGCTTCAAAAGGGTAAGTTTTTACACAATTTAGTTGATACCTCGTAGAGTGTGATATGTAATTTCTAATTCGTAATCTTATGTATGTTGCTTCTTGGGTTTACTTCATTCTTTATAGTTTGTCCAAGTAGTGCTCTGAGCAAGGTAGGGAAGATAGTGGATATATGGCATGCTGGGAAAATGTTCTATACATTCTCCACCTGGGGACTCGCTTTTGGAGGGTTTGTTTAATTTTCTAGTAATGATCTTGAGATGTTGAAACATGAATATTTCAACTGATATTTGGTGGTTTTCGTTCTTCTTCAGATTGTAGATAGCTGCTAATTAAGGGTGTTCATGTGACCAGAAAAATTGTTCTTAGGGCTCTGTGAGGTCTAATTCGATGAAAGCAGAGATGATTCTCCAATATCATAAGGTTTTTGTATCTGTGTGAGGGAATGACCTTTTTTCTTTTCTCAAGTACTAGCATTGCTTTGTGTAAAAAGAGTTTGATCGAAATTGTATTAAAATTGATTTCAATATATTTGTTCTTTAATTGCTTGTGCAAATAGTGCAAAAAGTGTTTGAACAAAGTTTCTTCTCTAGCACAAAAAAAAAGATTTTAGGTATCAGACAGATGAAGCATAATCAAATTTAAACCGACCAAAAACAGACTTGCAAATATCAAAGACATATATAGCCCATGTTAAATAATGATACCCTTTACGGAGGAGATGCGGTCAGATTTAACTATTATGAAGAGCCCATCCTGATTCAGTAATCCGATAACAGACCGATCCTGATCTTGTACTCCGATAACAGAAGATACATATAAAAGTCTGATACATCCTTGGCATCCTTTGGCTGATACAGATAAAAGTCTCGCAATCCATCACACATCCTTGGCATCGATCCCACTATTCCCCACTTATTGGCTCTCAAGTCTTAGCCATAAACCACTCGGTTATCTGTAAGATTAGTCATCGTCCTCACCACTAAACACTTGCCGTCGTACGCGTCCACGTCCCAGGATAACGTAATACCTTCGTTTACCGCTTTGTTCCTGATCAGTCTTGTGAGAGTCCATTTGGAATTGGTGTGGATACTTTCAAGGTTTAAAGCGTAAATCATCTCCATGGTTGCCGATATCAATGTCAGGCGGTTATCGCCGACACCGAACAAGAGTTTGCTCGGAATGATATGCCGTGCTTGCTCGATTCTGGGATTGAAAGCTATGATACTTCCGTCGTTTCTCAACCTGTGAAGTGTGCCGTCCAAGTAAACAGGTTTCATTTCCGTCATGAGGTCACTTAAGAGGCACATGATTGTGGTTCTTGACAATCTCCAAGAATCTACGGTGTAGATCTCGAATAGATACACATTTTTAATCGATTTGAAGTGTGGTGTGCGATTATACGTATGATTTGGAATTCCTGAGTGGTTTGATCGATTTTATCTACCATGAACCCAATGCATTTTGCTCTTCTCCACTCAGAGTGATTCAGGAATTGAAACCTTTTTGTGAGGGGGTTGGTGACGCAGAAACATCCATCAATCAAGAGTAGGAGAAGGCCGGAACAGTAACCAAGGATATGGCACGACCTATCTAAGACATCGTTGTTTAGGAATAGCCTAGAATCACCCAAAGGGTGGAAGCACACCAAGGTGGAGCCACCTCTGGAGATGCGAAGCAGACTGGACTTGAGCCGAAAAAGATATTCAGATTTTGAATTTTGGATCTTCGGATATATGAGATTTCATAAATTTACAGGTGCATTGCATCTTTGCCAAAGATTTGGGATTTAATCTGAAGAGACAGGCAAAGATAAGATATTCATGGTTGGAGATAGTAAGATTTTTTTTTTGTTTAGTTTTTTTTTTCTGTTTATTTGTTACTTGAGTTGTGTGGTTATTGTATCTTATCTTATTATATAAGGCTTAACAAGGTTCACTTGTAATACAATGAATGAATTATAACTCAACATGATTGTGACACGTTTCTGATAACTAAGAGTTTTTAGGCTTTTAAGAGGGGTTATCAATCCCCTTGTCAAAGTAGTATAAGGGGTGTCAATCCATATGTGTGGTAGTTAGGCACTAGTTTATAAGATAAGTTCTTAAGTCAAGCTAATCAAAGACAGGTTTTTGATAACAAGTAACTAAAAGAAGCATAAAACAATAAACAAGCAAGCAATGATGATTAAACTAAACAGGCAAGCTAAAAACGATGATGGTGATTAAGGAAATGATAAAAGATAAACCTCTAGATGTGATCATTGATTAGGGTGCTTTCAATGCCTAATTCATGATGCTAAGAACATAATGCAACACTTGTAACTCTTTAGTCTAGACTTCAAAAGCAGATTAATTCATTCCCATGACAATAATCTCTTTGTAAACCACTAAATCAAGATTAATTCACCTTAAGCAAGATCAAGCAATCAACAAGCATAAAGTTTCAAGTCTAATGATGACCAAACGGTTTCTACTTAAGAAGACCAAATCTTACACAGAAAGAAGCAACAAGTATTCACATGATCTCAAAACCAATTAACTTAGAACTCTAAACTAGATTAATCCTCTCATGAAGGCATTGACCTATACACCAATCCATTTTCAAACCAAATCATCATTAGTGAAATATGAATCAGTGAGCATTAAGAAACAGTTCTAATATGTCATTCATGCATTTAACAAATCATTCCCATGATGAAAAACGCTTGAACCCTTAGCTTAACTCATTCAGACATTTCATCAAACACCTTGTGGGGGGAGAAATGACCAAGGTCTAGATCAGAGTGATGTGCAAAGATCTAGGATTAAGAGCATCTAACTAAGGAAAGGAAATGAGAAACTAGAATCTAAACATCATAAACCGATCATCTAAGCACCCTAATCTACACACCTAGAAGCTTAAAGGATGACTACTCACTAATAATGAAGAACACACCATTTCCTTTGCAAGAGGTGATGTTAATCATGATTAGAAGCAGAGATGAGATGATGAGATGATAAGAAACAGCCTTAAGATGATTAAATCTGCTGGATATCTCTTGATAAAACTCGTTTTTACACAAAGAAGGAGAGAGGAAACAAAGAGACAACAGATTAGAAGATAAGATAATGGATAACTAGGGTTTTAGTCCCCCAAAATTATTTATATAAAAGGCATTGGGCCGGGTCAGCCCAGGACAAACTGGGTACTGACCCGTCCTTTCTGGGTTGCTGGAGCCACCCCTCGACATCTGAAGAAGTCTCACACCGAGGGTCATACACCAGGGGGTCATGTGCTGGGTTGAAACTTTGATAAACACTTGAAGAACATGCATGAGACTTGGCCTTTGATCTGGTTAAAGCTTTGAAGCGTGAAGAGAACTTGTTTTTCATCTGGGTTGGAGAGATGAGGACCTCGGGGCTTGGTAGCCGAGGTTTGTGTTACATAGTATTCCGACATGTAAAGCCGAGGGGTTCACACCAAGGTCAGCTTCAACACTTAGTCGTTTTGGGATCATTTTGGTGATCAAGGGAGCCTTGGTGTTGAAAGACCGAGGTGCTAGCTCGAGGTATAGTCTAAAATCTTTGTAAACATGCCTCCTCGTCATAACAAACCGAGGTATACACGCCGAGGTAGGGCACAACACTTAGCTTACAGTCGCATCTCTTAAAACCCGAATTGACCAGCTTCTCTTCCGTTCAGTGTAACCTTCAGCTCGTAACTCCAAATGACCTGAAACAAGTTCCATAAGAAAGATCACTCATCCAGCACGAACTTTGGTGAAGATACTATCGGCGCTTGCGAAGTGGAAGGTTCCCCGGAGGGCTCATCTTTTTGATGCATTGACATGATCAGAAAGAGGCTTCTAGACATGTGTCTTCAGCTCGTAACTCCAAATGACCTGAAACAAGTTCCATAAGAAAGATCACTCATCCAGCACGAACTTTGGTGAAGATACTATCTGCACTTGCGAAGTGGAAGGTTCTCCGGAGGGCTCATCTTTTCGATGCATTGACATGATCAGAAAGAGGCTTCTAGACATGTGTCCATTTCGGAAACGTTATCTTCTTGATAATAGCTCCAAATCGAATAATATCAAACGTTCTCGAAATAGGACTCAAATATCTCGAATCTTGATGAAGGCCCTGTAAACTGAATCGGTCTGCATGTGCATCGTCCCTCGAAATCTTTGGAGCTCATCGAGTCGGTCTAAAAGTAGCGACGAGACAGGTGTGTCTTCCGGTGAGCTTAAATCTCTGCTCACTACTTCAAATCCAATGATTCCAAGCTTTCTTGAAACTAAACTAATTTCTCTAAAACTTCTATGAAGACTCTGTAAGCCAGATCGGAAGGGAAGGCTTTGCAGTAACGACGTCTTTGAGGCATATCAGGTTTCTCCGGAAAACGTGCGAGATATGTTCGTCTTCCGGTGGCCATATCTTTCAGGTCAGTTCTTCAAATACCCTGATTCGAACTGTTCTGGGTTCTTGACTCAATTATCTACAACTTTCTTGCAGACCTTGATAACTGAATCGGACGGCAAGACCTTCCGGTAACGTGATTTCTGAGATGTGTCTGCACTCGAGATTTTTGGCCGAGAAACTTAACCGCTGGTACGTGATTTTGGCCTAGAGATCTACCCGCAGGAAGGATTTTAGCCGAGAATTTTCGACCATCAGTACAGCATTTCGCCGAGAACCTCAGAATTGCTTTTCTACACCATTTTTTATGATTTCAACTCCATTTCTTCATTGAATCACATTCTCCACTCCAAATAAGCTCCAAAAGCACCTGAATAACACTCCAAAACATGCAAAACTCTCTTTGACCTAATGCAATCTCCTAAGTCCTAAAACAATGCCTAAAGACCAAAAATATATGCAAATAAGACATGATTTGGACTAGAATATGTACACTAAATGATGCAATTTATGAATATATCAACTCACCCACACTTATCGTTGCTTGTCCTCAAGCAAAAAGAACAAATAAGAGAGAGAGGTTGAATGCATTGGGAATTCATATTTGCTTTTAGAGAGAAGTGATCACAATGAGAATTCAAGTTCATGCTCAATTATGCAATGCAAAGCCATACTCAGATACATATCAACTCAACAAGGAATCTCCACAAGTTCTCCTCTCTCTCAACTCTTTCACATTCATTAGGCTTTTATCAGGTGAAATCGAATGATGCAATGTTTAAACAAGCTGGCTTGGCTAGGGAGAGGCTATGAGATTAAAATGATCTCATCAGTGTTCAAGCGGGTTTAATGCAGCAAAGGGATCTCTCGATGAATGATCAAACTTCGGCAGAATGCTAAAGGTAAAAAGCAACCTATGCATACAAGGGCAAAGACTCATCCCACCCCACACTCAATTCAAAGTTTCCTCACTTGCTAACACTCTCAAGAACCTCTCTTTTTACTCTCATTATCGTCTAACTAGGGGATTCATTTTCTTTTCTCATGCTCAGGTCTTGAAGTCTACACTTTCATTAGCCCTTTTTTCACTTTCTTTCGCAATCCCTAGCCTCTTTCTCTTTCTTTTCAAAACGTTTGAGCTCTTTGGCTTTTTTTCACTTCTTTTTTCATTTAGAGGCTAGGTTTTCTTTTTCACAACACCAGAGCTTGCTTCCTTAACTTAAAACTCCAAGACCGAATTCTTTTTCTTTCATTCTCCTAGCTATTTCCACTTTCTCTTTTCCACTCATCTCACCTTTTTACACTCACCAACAAGTCTTTTCCCCCACACTTATTCCTCGCCAACACTCTCAGTTCCTTGATGTTGGAACACAGCACTCAATGAGACCTGCCCTTGTCGCTCTAAACCTAACACTTTCTGCTAAGTTTGATCCAAGGTGGCCTTTCGATTCACACACAAAAATTGGCTTGAAAGAAGGATGGGTTCAAGGTGAGGGAACTGATCCATGATGCGGATTCAGCTACTTGAGCTAAGGAAAAAGGGCGGTAAAAACAATGGTTCTAGCTCAAGTATGTATGTCGGTATCCACAAGCTTATTCAAACAATGCACCAAAAGATATTTTCAAGTCAAGTTCAAGGCTCTCACTTAATTAGAGTTGAGTTCAATTCAAACTTGCTTCTCAGATTCAGATCGTTTCAGACTTTCCAACCACAGAAAAAGATTCACAAACATATTCAGTTCAAGTTCTCAAAGTGATGTACTCTCTAGGAAAAGATCTATCATTACTCCCATGAATTGATGCAACCTATATGATGCAGCTTCACTCAATCCTTAAAATGTGAATGCAACTAGAATGAACATTTTTTGTTAAAATTT